GAAACAACTACCAAAAAATCACTAACATAGAGCAATTGGTCTAGTTAATTAATTATCATTATTTTCATTACTACTATCATTCACACTAATTAATTATTAAATGTATTTTGCATAGTGAACCTTCAGTTATTTTTAACTCGGCAGTATCTCGTGCAGTTGAGTCGCACCCTAGGTTAAAAAAGGCAGAGTATCCAACTGATACAGTTTTTATTTCCCGATAGGTTAGGATTGTGCTAAAAGGCATGGCTAGTGTTAACTACTTGAAAATAGGATGTCTTAATGTAAGGTCGCTGTTACCCTCTCTTCTGGAATTGAAAATTCTTATTTCAGATAACGAATTCGATATATTCTCAATATGTGAAACATGGCTTACTAGCGATACTGGCGAGAACCAGGTTGCTATTGAGGGGTATAAACTCTACCGGGTGGACAGAATTTCAAGAGGAGGAGGGGTCTGTATTTATGTACGTAATAATATTCACAGTGAAACTATTTTGTGTGTGGGTCAAACTTGTGAACAGCTTTGGATCAAAATTAAAATAAAAAAACAGTCGATAGCTATAGGAATAATCTAGACCTCCGTCTGAGGATGTTACTACATTCATAAATGAATTTGAAGACAGTCTTAGTAGATTGTACCCAACTTTACAACTTAGTTTGTAAAGGGGATTTGAATATCAATTTTCTTGACTTCCAAAATTCTAACGTTGATAAAATTTCTTCTGTTTTGAACTCATTCAACCATAGTAATATCATAAACACCCCTACCAGAATTACAAAGCGCACAGCTACTTTACTGGACGTAATTATAACTGTGGAAGATGATGTGTTAGAGAGGAGTGTTATTGACGTTGGTGATGAATCTGATCATTTGTTAGTAAGTTGTAAATTGCGTATATATGGAATCAAGCAGGTGCCTAAAATACATACATAAGTATAGAAATTTCAAGTATTTGATGAAGGAAACTTCAAGAGAGACCTACTTCTAACACCTTTCTTTAAAATTTTTGACACAGAGAATGTTGATGAAAAAGTAAATTTTTTGGTTAATTGCTTGAAAAAATTATTCGTTAGACATGCGCCGCTGACAACTTCAAGGGTCACCAAAAAAAAGCTCCCTGGCTCACAGACGTCTTGAAAGAGATGATGTCAATCAGGGACAAGGCTATAAAACGGTATAAGTCAACAAAGTCAGCTGTGCATCTACAATACTATAAAGACATGAAAAATTATACAAATCAAGCGATCAAAAAAGAGAAACGAGCATACTTTGCTCACACTTATGATAACAAAAATTCTAAAGAGATGTGGAGAACTTTGAAATCTAATAATATTTTAACGCAGAAATCTTTTGATATTCCCTATAATTTGAAAAATCCAAATGAGATCAACCAATATTTTATCAACTTCATACCTGTTAGTGATCCACCACAGGAAATACTCACGATCTATGTGAATAATAAGCTCATAGATGGGGATTTTATATTCAGAGAAGTTGATGATCAATTTGTTTGCCAAGCATTATTTTCTATCAAAACAAAAGCTGCAGGTTGTGATGAACTGATTATTGATTATATTGTTGCCCGTATATAATATGTTATATAACCCATATTATCAATTCCTGCTTAGCAACTAATTTGTTTCCAGCACTGTGGAATAGTGCAATTGTAAAAGTACTACCAAAAAAGACCAATCCAAGTAATTTCAAAGATCTCAGAGCAATCAGTATATTACCAACCTTATCAAAAATTTTGGAAAAAGCAATGGAAGTCCAGTTGAAGGAATATCTCGAGTACTTCTCAATACTACCTTCGCTCTGTGAATCATTCTTGGAAAATCGTCAGCAAAAGGTCAATATAGACGGAGTTGAATCCCAATATATTTTATTAAACCGCGGTGTTCCTCTAGGGTATATTTTGGGTCCACTGCTGTTTGCCATATATACTTCGATTTTAGTCAAGAGTCTTTAGTACTGCAAAATACACCTATATGCTGCTGACACTCAACTTTATTATAGCTTCCCTCCACAAATAACTGATACTGCTTGTTGTGGAATAAATAAAGATCTCAAAGCTTTTACAGGGGCAGCCTCAAACCACTGTCTGATTATTAATAATAGTGAATATAACGTCATTGTTTTCGCCTCCAAAATCAATCGCAGTACTGTACTTAATGATTTTGATGTTAGTATAAACGAAACTTCTCTCACAACTGTTCAAGAAGCAAAAAGTCTATGAGTTCTCCTAGATGCCGATCTCAGATTTGAAAAACACGTGAATATACTCTTACAACGTGCATTTATTTTCATTGAGGCTGGGGACAATATTATGTGAGGCAACAATCCTTTCACATTTTAATTATGCAGATGTGCTCTTTGGTCCATGTTTAACTAGTCAATATGAATCAAAAATTTAAAAAGTTCAAAATTCTTGCTTGAGGTTGATCTACGGCTTAAGGAAACGTCAAAGAATCTCACACAAACTTAAAACTGGTTGAATATGAGTAATAGAAGAGTCCTTCATTCTGCAGTACTCTTCCATATAGTCATACTGACCAATTCCTCAACATATCTGTATAGATAAATTACTCATCGGACAGATGTTCACAACCTCAATGTTAGAAAAAAAGGTTTATTAATACCTCCTCGTTTTCGACTTGAACTTTTCAGACGCAGTTTCAGTTATCAAGTTTGCGCAATCTATAATAATATTCCTGAATTAATCAAAAAGAGTGGGCTTCAGCGATTTCAAATTAGATTTGAGAAATATTTATTTGAAACTCAGTGATCTATTTTTTTATTATCCTTATCATACCATGCCTTGATTATAGTAGAATGTATTATTTTATAATAATGCTCTTATAACACCGCAGCGACTTTTTTTGAGGTTAAGTGGAAGAGCAATTAATAACGATTTATCGTTATAAAAATTGAACTTCGCCTTTTGTTTTCATATTTTTGTCCATACTGTTCATTAACTGTTGAACCTTATTAGTTGTAAAGAATGAAGACATTTATTATTATTATTATCATTATATATTCACTAATGAACCATTAATATTCATAACCACGTATGGAAACTTCTGGGTTCTTCCGAATTATTTTTTGTTATTTATTTTCCTAATCTGGGTATAGTCGTTATTTTACCGTGTGGATTGTCGAATTCCTTTTTCCAATATGATCAACTCAATTAAATCTTTCTTCAGGAGCGATTCCTATATTCGTTGAACTGAAAGTCAGGAACGGGGTGTTGGCAAACTATGTGAGAAAATTCATCACAATAGAGTTGCGCCGTAACGATTCTGGCTGATGAGAACGGGAGAAAGCCATTTCGGAATAGGGTTTCTAGTTCTTGAAGAATTTCGACAAGAGATTTGTTAAGCCGTGAGCTGCGTGGTTCAATTTCAAGAGTTCAGAACGAAAAAGTTTCGGATATAGTTTATCATGCTAATTGTTGAATGTTCCATGAAGGACTGCGCCTAAGATTTCTTCTTAGCCATAAACACTTCATAGAACAAGCGACGCTATTTTCTTGAACACTTTCACCAACTGACTTTTTTTAATTCATGTAACTTTTCTACTACGGAAGTTTCATGGGAGAAAATTATTCTATGAAAGTTCATTGAATTTTCATTGAGGAAAGAAAAAGCATTTTCATTTCTGGTTAAGACACGGAATGGATTTTGAATTCCATTGCCAAATAGTGGGATTTTCATTCGCTCAGTTCCATATGTGTTCATACTGTTCATTGTCAACGTCCACGTGATGTCCATGTCCATTTTTCATTAGAAAAGTACGTGCTCCATTTCTGTTTAGTTCCAGGCAAAGACTAAACTTTTTCATAAAAACAAAACACAAGCACTACATAAAAAACCTTAACGCGCTCTAAGAGCGGTGCCTGTGCGAAAGTAGCAATTCACATTAGATTTGAGTCGCTGGAGATTAAATCTTATTGGAAAAATGTTCTCAGGAAATTTATTCACATGAATGCAGTTCTCCAAATGAAAGGGTTCTTGAACACTGAAGTTCGAGGTGTACTGAGTTGAACCTCGAAACGATGAGCAGTCGCAGTCAGTGCGAATTGTTGATATGTACCACTCTTGGTGGCATCAATTGTGTTAAGTCACTTGAACACTTTCCGTGAAGGTATCTATAGAAGAAAGAAAAATCTCCAATATTTCTTCGATGTTCCAGACTATCAAGGTTGCAAGTGATGTTCGCGTCTCCAATCAGGCGGATGGATCTTTTCTGCATGGAAACCAGCAGCGCCAGGGTATGCTTAGGGGCGGAGCTCCATACATGAGAACAATACTCCAAAAAAAGTATGATCTGAGCTTCATAAAGTATCAAAAGTTGCTGAAGTGTTTATAGTTTTCTGGTTCGGAACAGTGTTCCAAGCTTTTGAGAAGCTGCAGCAGCCATAGCTAAGTGAATTATTTTACTGAAAATTACCATACCTTTTTTTATGAAAAATGAGAATTAATTAAAGCTTCGTATGTTTTTATGGCACTTTTACTTGTAACTAACGTTATTGCAGTTTCGTCCTACAAGGACATTTTCAAACGAATACAATAAACTAAAGTAACTGACAATGTTCACCCTAGTAAATCTATACAACTAGAGTAAGTAATAACAGACGGTCCTTAATGACTTCATTACCTGAATTTTGTTTACCTGTAATATAGTGCGTGGTTGCATTCCAAATAATAGTTTTAAAGGTATATGGTGGAGGGTGAGTTATATCAAAATATATCAAACACAAATTACAGTTTTCTTAACAACTATTTTTACAAAATAATTTCAATTCTTTTCTATTACTACTTGAATGCTTCGCTTCTGCCCACGTTACTCCTCTTTTTTTCAGTATGTGCTCTATTGTCTTATCCCATGTTTGCCTATTATTTCATGAAAAAAGGCCAATTTCGTTTTCTATTTCGATTATTTTCAAAAACGACGGAAAGAATACAGTGAAGCTTAATTCATATACGGTAAAACAAACAAATCGTACTGCATACCATTTTATTTATATTTACCAGAATCATACAAATCGTGTATGGGGCACAAAATCCTCTTCTGAGGAAACGGTTGACCTTCTGCGTGTACTTTTTCTTTAGCAATAATATCCTTTTCGGGGATAATTTTAGAGTCTTCTTCCGAAACATTAGGAACTGTTATATTTTGCGGTGGATTATCACTATCATCGATGGGTATCAATTTGTTTAAATTTTTCCTAGGATCAAGACTATGTTTTTCCTGATGTACTCGATTTCTCCTACATTTTTTAATTTCCTTGGCCGCCTCGGTTCCATTTAACGAGTCTGCCATTTTTCTGTTGATGTATTTCGGCATGTCCCATGTACCTTCGATAATGAGAACATCACATATTTGAAAAGTATTAATAATGAAAATTGATTGGGAAAAATATGAAAAATAAAGAATATTAACAGAATATTTCACAGAATTCATTTACTTTTGCTGTTTGGGCAAAAGCGATAAGTCACATTTCTCAGATAAATAGTCAACATAGATCTTTTTGATCGATATTTTACTATATCAAGGTGGAATTAACTCGTACCCTGTACCATGAACGTTCTCTGAATAGTTCGAAAACGTACTCCAAAATTATGAAGCTCGTATTTCAATAAGTTTCAAAATTATGCTCAAACCAAAATGTGTTCAAATCTTCAACCTTTTTTAGAGTAGAGTTATACTCTATTACAATGTTTCCCAAACTTTTTTGTAAATTGCTCCAGCGACCCACTAGTGTGTCGCGACCCATAGTTTGGGAACCACTGATCTATGACACATACAGAATTCAACAAGACCATTTGGTAAACTCTGCAGCGCCATATTTTGTAATTTATTTTATAATCAGAGTCAACGGGACACGTCCAAGTTTATACCAAGGAAACTATTTTTGGTATACGATGTATCTTCTTGATTTCATCCCCCCAAGACCCTTGACTCTTGAATGACTCACCTAATACTTTTTTGAATAGGAAATACCCAGTGGAAATATGATTTTGTTTTCGTTTTGCATCTTTATGGATACGTTCTCGAGAAATGATGTACCTGACTCTATTCTTCCTACATGACTAGTTTTGGTTTGCAGCTTCTACATGTTCTTTTCAAAGAAAATTACAGAACAAACATTCTCTTCACACTCTATCATCTATCCAACTTGAATAGAAAAGGTAAAATATTAAGGACCGATAATACAATATCATTGTCGATGTAGGAAGTGCGTACTAGCAATTGTTTACATATTGCAGGACAGATTTGGTCAATTTTTATTGTCAGAACAATAGATGCGAATGACATCAGATGAAAAAATATCTGCAGACTGGGTCGATACCAAAAACATTCAGTTCGCAATAAGGGGTTGAGATGTAGTTAACACTTTTGTGAGAATGGTTGCTATCATATAATATTTTTATATTAAAATAGTGATGATGCTAATTAAGATGACTTCGACCAAGGCGTACTATTCTGTAATTTTTTTTATTTTCAAGGAGAAAACACAAGCACTACAGGAAAACCCTTAAGGCGCTGTCTGACTGGTGGCTGTGTGAAAGTAGCGATTCACATTGGATTTGTATCGCTGGAGATTAAATCCATTTGGAAAAACGTTCTTAGGAAGTTCGCTCCATATAAACGCAGTTCTCCAGATGAAAGAGTTCTTGAACAGTGAAGTTCGAGGTGAACTAAGTCTAACCTCAAAACGATGAGCAACATCTCCCGTGAAAGTATCTATAGGAGAGAGACAAATTTCCAACCTTTCGTCGATGTTCCAGGCTATTGAGGTTGCACGTGATGTTCGCGTCTCCACTCAGATGGATGGCTCTTTTCTGGATGGAATCCAGCAACTTCAGGGTATGTTTGGAGGCAGAGCTCCATACATGAGAACAATACTCCAAAGAAGATCTGATTTGAGCTTTATAAAGCATTAAAAGTTGCTGAGGTGTGCACCTTTTTCTGGTTCGGAACAGTGTTCCAAGCTTTTGAGAAGCAACCTTTGCAATTCCAGCGACATGATTGTGCCAAGACATATTGGTGTTCGTTTTAACCCCCACCTAACTTATAGAAGCAGAAAGCGGAATTGTCTAGCCCGACATTATTATATCCGGTTCGGAGACATTGGAGAAAGTCGATGCCTGGGTTTTTGTGGCATTAAATTGCACCTGGTTACTTTTACCCCAATTCGAAATCACTTCTAGATCCTCATTGAGATTTGCAACCTCCTGCTGCCGGTGAAGATGTGCCTCCGTAGCTGATGTCCTGAAATCCAAATGGAATGACGAGACAGGTGTGCTATCGTAAGCAAAGAAATATATTGGATTCTTGGTGCCTGTAAATATTTTAGCGACATGATGAATTAGAATAGAAATTTGATGTACAATATCTCTTTCACTATTTTTTTTTTCATTTTGATGATGACGCGAATAGACACAATTGTTGGTACTTGAGCGATATAAATACTCGTTCCTTTCGGAAACCACGTATGCAGTAACCTGAAAAAATCAATGTGCAAGCAAGGTCATATTATTGGGGTATCTAATCAATGGTAATCTGAACGGTTAAAATTATTCAAAACGTTTTACAATGAAATAAACTCCAAGATAACTGATATACCATGAAAAGATGAATATTACTGTAAATTTTTTCTAACACCAAACCGTTATTTTAACACATCGACACGTGTTTTGATAACCAAGTGATAACCTTCAAAAGGAAAATCAAACAGGTTATTCAATCTTCCTCTTGAAGATGATCACTTGGTGATCAAAACACGTGTCGAGGTGTTAAAATAACGGTTTGGTGTTGGGAACAAACTCCAATAATATTTATTACTACACCAAAGAAATTAAACAGTGCATCACAAGTACTATATAAAGATGACAACTTTACACAAAACGAATTGATGTTTCATCAAGAAGGGTCACCTCTGCACGATGTTGTCCTCTTTGGCTTATTTTTGAGCGAAGACTTTCCTAGGCGGCGAATTGGCCGGAATTAATGAGAATGTTGGTTGATAACGAAAATAAACGTTGGGTAATGAAGATTGATTGTATATCTGTGATATGATTATTATGTAATATAGTCAGCTTCAATATTCAATAATTCATCCATAAAAATGAAAACAACAGAGTCGTATAGTGGATCAAAACACTCCACAAAGTATCGACCCCTTTTGCTATTTGAAAAAGATGAGGTGGCTGAATAAAGTAGAGGAATGTTATTAATAAGATATTTTATGCCACATTATAGCTTTCTTTATATAAACCTAGAAATGTCTCACATAACAACATGAGAAACAACAAATTTACAGAGAATAAGGAGGTAAACTGTTTTCGATGAGGGACGCTCTATATTTCTTCACAGTTTTTCAATATCTGATAGTTTCGGAAAAATGGGAAGTAGAGAAAGCGAAATAAAATGAGTACTTTTTTGATAATATGTTTATAGATTTAAATTCAAAGTAATGACTTTTGAATTTACGATTTTGATATCGAAATTACGACTCTCAACTAGAAATTTCGACTTCATTAAGTAGAAATGTCTGGAATTGAGTCGATTATTCTAGATTGAAGTCAAAATTTCGAAGAAAAAGTGGATTTTTCGAGTTACAAGTTCGAATTTCTTTCCTCCGTCTGCACGTCGGTAACTCAAAAACATCCGGTTCAATGTTAATTCTCTTTTCTGCTAATTCAGCGTTAGTAAACCGTTTTGATAGCATTGAAGGAAAAGTATGTGTATACACAGACATTAACCTAAATTCAGATAGAATTAGTTGCTAGAGATCCTCCTTTAGTGACCAATAATCAACATAACTTTCAGTTTCTGCAGTTTTGTCCTATAAGGACACTTTCAAACCAATACAATTGTACTGTATTAATTAGTCTGAAAAATGTGATGATAGATGTTTAAGCAGATCACTCAAGCGTAAAACAACTGTGCGATATGTAACAGAGGAACTGCTTTTGAAACGGTGACCTGAATGTTTTCCACTCGCGAATTTTTGTATAAATTCGAACATGAGGGGCGTCAAAATCAGAAGTGGCCACGCGGAGCCAATATTTTTGTGAGTTGTATTTTCATCCTCTTAGAAAGAGTTGAAAACGTTTTGTAATTCCGTACCTGAGGCTTCAGAGTATTATGATAACCATCATTATAGTGTTATGATGATTTTCTTGGATTGCATTTCAGTTTTAATTTACTAGTCATTTAATTGTGTTACTATCCAGTGAATTAATAAAAAAATGTCTTAAGTCTCATGCCCGACTTTTCGTCAGGCAACGGTAGACATTATCGAAGGCTGGGAGACAACGGACGAAGTGCTCGGGTTGTTTTCACGTCAGTATCTGCTGTGAGAACAGTTCTTCGGAAGAAGAAAGATGAAATTCGGCTAAATACGTATCAGACTGGTATATCATAATACCGTGAATTGAAAAACTTACCAAAAACATGTCTACTCATTTTTCGCTCATACTCTTGAAGGTGTACTCACCTGAAATGAAAAAAAGAATATATAAGATGGATGAAAATTTTGTAAGTATAAAGAGAGTACAAAAATTGACACCACTGAAATCTGTCCAAACTTCAAAGCCTTACTAATTTTATAGTATAGAAGGTATTTTTAGTGTTACAGTATGAATTTTTCCACTATGACACTTTGCCAATACGTAGTCTTTTTTCTTTTTTCCTGAACCACAATATATGAATTTTTCAGTATTCGGTTGGCAGTATTTTCATCAGTACGGTGGGTATTTTGCGATTTTTTTGCAATTATTTCCAACTTAAACGATAATTGTTATGGAGGACGACGTAAGTGAAAGAGGAACAGCATATACTGTTGGTGTAATGGAAACAACCGGGCGACCGGACACTAAGAATGACCTTATGCAAAAAATCTCTGTTATTCATGATCGAATAATTTTATTGGAAAAATGGCAACAAAGATTTGGATGCACCATTCAAAACAATGATTCGAAGTATTGGTGAAGCCGTTGAAGAGTTATCTTTTTCATATTTTTTACAATTTTTATATTAGCTTCACCTGTATGTATGTATGTATGATTGTTTGTATGCATGTTTGTGTGTAACTCTTGAGATCGGGATCTGATTTGACAGAATTATCGGCATTATTGCTTGATCTATTCGCGGGCAGATAGCGCTGTTCGTAACCTAATTGATATTTCTTGATCTATTCCCAGGCAGATGGCGCTGTACGTAACTATCAATTATTGCTTGATCTATTTGCGAACAGATGACGCTGTACGTAACTATCTGTTATTGCAATCAAATCAAAATGTACTTTATTGTTGAAGATGAAATCTCATTTACAAAGTGTTACCATTCTAAGAAATATAAGACATACAACTTAAAAGATATTGTCGAAGATAAAATATTATTGTCAAAGTGTTATTATTTTAAAGAATATAAGTTATACAAATTGAAAGTAATATTTGAATCAAGTCCGCCCTCTGTTGTAGACCTACTGCATCTCATTATTACTATAGAAGTTAAGACCTCAAACCAATGCTCAAACTTCATTATGTTGTTTGAGAGGAATTTTACGCCGTCTTCGTGCGCCGTCTGTTGAAGATTTATAATACTAGTGACTAGAACTTAAAAAAAAAGTATTTTTGACAATAAATCGGACAAAAAGGTGAAAAATAAATATAGTTTGAAAAAACTGAAAAACACGCTTTTGAAGAAAATCGAACTAAAAAGTTAAAAATAATTTTTTTGAAATAAGCTTAAAACAATAACGAACGGAAAATACAAGTATTATTGTGAAGCACACGTCGCTTTTTTCACAATAATACTAGTATTTTTCGTTCGTTATTGTTTTAAACTATATTTATTTCTCAAGATCTCGACTTATTGAAATATTTGGATTTTGCACTTCAGTAAATATTCCAAAATTTGAGAATACCTTGGAATATAGAGAATAACATTACTGTGAGAAACCAACTAAATATTAGATATCATAATATACACCAGGTAACATAACAAGTATATTGATAGGAAATTAAAACCGATAAAAAATAAAACAATATTTCGTAAATAGTCCCCCCTCCTAACTTCGAAACGTGACTAGATTTCAAAGTCGGTAATAGAGACGTTAGTGCTGCACTATTCATCGCAAAAGTACGCTATCATCTTTTTTCAATTAGAAAGAAGGGTTTTGTGTTACCTCGTTTGATATTTTAATTCTCTATCCAAGACTTTCTGTATTTTTAGAAATCGCATTAGCTCTTCCTGAATAATTGGCAGTATTATATAGGTTTCGTGATCAAAAGATAAATATAATTTCAAAGCTCACTCAGTTCATTTCAATGAATGTTCAAAATATTTTCAACTCACTCTCTGACGATGATGAAGTCTGTTTACGAATGAAATGTTTCTGATAACACAACACTTTTTCTATTGACCAGTTCAAAAAACCACTGCAGTTGTGTATCGTACCCTTGAATGCCACGTATCCCTTCAAAAACATGTAGAGGCGTCATATCAGTTGATCTAGTGGGCTCTTCTGAGATAATATCTCTTCCTATCTACCGATTTATATAGTGAACAAACTCAAATGAGTTTTCAACTGACGGAACGTCTCAGCAAGATGAGATAACTCTCTATTATACTAGTCTAGTTCGAAACTGAGTAGATGACAAATATCCACACTCTTGGATACGTAAAAATGATGTGTTAGAATGACCCGCTAGATTACCTGAAATGACGCACTTATATTTTTTGTGGGGATTCGTGAAATATAAAGTATACAACCATAGTCTATTTTAGACCTCATGGTTGGAATGAAAGGTGCTCCTAATGAAATTAATCTGGAAACATTCTATAATGTAAGAAATTTGTGAGGAAATGAATGAGTAACATTTCAAACATTCATTGGAATGAACTAGAGTGAGGTCTGAATACATTTTTTCTTCAAATTATGATATTTATCGATTGTTCGCAAAACGAATAGATAGAAAACTGCTATTTGCTTTGGAAGAGCTGAATCGATTTTCAAACATAAAATAGTAGATAGAAAATTGAAATATTTATCAAACGAGGTATCACAAGATCATTCGTTTAATGAAAAAAAAAAACGTTGGTAGCGAGTGATGCAACACTATCATCTCCCTTACCGAAAAGTACTGAAATGATATTCTTTTAGGTGAATTTTCTCCGATAATAATAATGATAATAATAATAATAATGTATTTTGTTGATGGTTCCATAAAATTACAACCAATCAAATGGCAGGATTCAATATTTGCGTATGATAAATCATCGCAGAGATTGCTCTTCCATCCAACCGTAAGAACAAAAGAAAAAGAGAGAAAAACCAAAAAGAAAAACACTATGCTATCGAGAACAATTCAACAAGTATATACAGCGAAATTGAAATACAAGGATATACATGAGCTTGGAGAAAGGTTAATTGATTTCGACATAATTCGATTAGTTGGATCTATTTTTTTATCTTTCGTTTGAAGCTTCCTAATGGCAGAGGTTTATATTCAATGGGTATCCGATTATATGAGTCGGCAATATGGTAAGTGAAAGGTCCGCAAAATAGAGAAGTTTTTGCTGTGGTATTGTTAAATGTGTCCTGCAGCTCAAGTTCAGATAGTGTACGTCAGTTCTAAAGGATATTTTTTCGAAAAGATAGGAGGGTTTTTTGTTTTGAGGAGTTTTAGAAAAAATGTTGCAGAATGAAATGTTCGTTTGGATTCCATATTCAGCCAACCAACATCCCCGAACAAATGGGAAATGTGTTCTCGTTTCCTCGTACCCGTAATGAGCCTAATGCATGCATTCTGGAGGTTTTGGATTCTAAAACTGTCACTTTTCAAAATTCCCGGACCCTACACCACGTCTGATGTATTACCCCGTTTTAAATACAAGAGGAGGGGCTTTTCACATCCGCACTGTATAAAAGCTCTAAGTTAGTTGTCAGATATAGTTTAAGTCATCATCTGATGATGCTGATATGGTTATAAAAACGCGCGTCAGAAAAAAGTGGTGCAAGAAAAATGTTTTCAGAGGTTCCTATTCTACTTATCTGAAAACACTTTGAGATAAAGTATAATAGGGTACTTTCGATATTAGATAATGGCTGCAGGCAGTTACTCATATAAATTTGAATATGATTTTAAGAGTGTCCATGTCCACTGATATCTTGAAAATCAGGCCAAAGTCAGTAGTTAGAAGTGATAATATCGGGGAATAGGTGAAAAAGAATAGCCCGAAAATGGGAGATTCTTAGAAACAACTTAGGTCATATTAAAAAAAATGTTAGTTCGATTTTGCTTATTGATTTCTGAAACCGATATATCATCATAGACAATATTTGCATGAATGTAAAGGATACGCTTTATGATTCATTTCAATCACTGCGATGTTTAAATTACATTACCAATAAATGATCCCCATGGATTTCCTTGTGGTCGGGTTACTCCAGGCAGAAGATGTCCTCTTGAATTCGCAATAATTCTGGTTTGGCCAAATCTCTGAAAAGCTTTGTCACAATAAAACTTTGGAACTTCCCAGTTTCTGAGAGACGTTGGTTTGTAAGCTGCCTCATATTGGAATGCCGAGTAGTGTCGTGACATTTTCAAGATTCAAATTGGTTATGATGCCATACTTTTTCGATAGTAAGTACCCCAGTGACACATCCTTAACGTGCCTTGACAGATGTTCAATGTCACTAGACATTTAAACATTTTCGTTGATCAGTGAAAAAGCGACACCATGAAAAAACTCCTGACTAATTATGAGAGTATAAAATTAACATGAAAATTGATTAAGAGTATGATCCGCAAATAACTTGCGGATCATAATAGTAGGCACTAAATTGTCAGGAATATTATTGCATTGAAAACAAACAGTTGTGAGGTTGTGATTTCATCGTTATTTATCTGTTTAGTATAATTTTCGAACGTTACTGCAAGAGACAGATTAAGGCAAAAACGTCAGTCATTTCTGAAAATTTTGTGAATAAAATTTTGGAATTATAGTATAACTGGTACTCACCAAATTTTTTGAAATCGGTTACCTATAATACTATAAATTAGTGGTTACTATCGTAACTCATCATCACGAATAATAACATTAGTGGATGACCATTGACCATCCAATATTTGCCGTGATCAGAATGTAACCACTTGTTCAGCATACTGACAGAGACGGTTAGTTTTCGACTGCATGACCAAGACTTTGGTTACTTTCGTACCATACCCTGGATTTAAATCACTTTGTGAACAGAATGGCAAATGTGTTTTCATTCTTCAACAAAAACCCATGTGAATTCATTGGAGCCAAATGTGATTTTACTAAAAATTATTTTTTTTAATATACACACACCTATACTTCAAAAAAGGAAAATGTCGAGTCTCATTTCAGAAGAACATTGGGGAAATCATCACAAAAACTGAATTGATCAAAAAGTGGTATAAAATTCTCAGGTTTGTCGTTAGAAGATCGGCTCATAGTCGAATAAATGCATCCATGTGAACATGTTGAACATCTGCAAGTTGTATAATTACATGTTGATAGAACATCTGATCTCTACCTGAAAAAAAAATCGGAAATGGTCTTGGAAATCTTCCATTTAGCAAATATGTGGTACCAGAACAGTTGCAGTCTTTCTCGTGAAGGGTACAGTTTAGGGTTGGCTATCATGCATAAACTTAGAGAGCAAGCATATTTCTGATCTATATCAGAAATCCTTGTTGACTCCTATATAAAATGACTATGACCGTTATTCATTGCAAAAACATATGCTCTGCAAACTTCTTCATAATATTAACCAGCTGTTATAATCGAAATTGAGTTTCAATTCGTAAGATGTTTGATTGTGGGACACTTGGGGTCGATATAATTATATTACCCCTGTGGAGTTTTCAAACACATGATATTGAAGTCTAGAGGTTTTTTTCGTTGGGTTGTTTTCTGTTTGAAAATCCATTCGGTATTGTATGAGTTTATCACGTTCACAGACGTGGCAAAAATACTCTGTTTTATAATAAGTCATTATCATGTTAGTCCATTATCAAAAGAGTGGAAATTATTCTTTTTTCAACAACAATGAATATGAAAATCGGGTGTCTTCTGGAAAAATTGTTGTTATTTAGAAAATCGCCACAATTGTTACTAAGCTGTCACAACACCAAACAAAAGTTGAATGAATGGGTGAGTATTTTTTAAATTTCCTCTTTTCTTCCTTCTCTTCCTGGTTATTTTACAGGCGATATACTTCGACTCAACTCTACCCAATTCGACCCAACTGAAAATGATTGTCCAATATGAACAGCAAAATGTGCGTGATTATTTTAGTAACACGTTTCATAGATTCTGGATATGACGAAAGGGTGCAATTGAGTAGCCCCCGAGTCATCTGATTCAAGTTCCTCATATTCTTCTTTGTATAGGTACATGAAAAACGAAGTTCACGGCATTCCACCTGACACATTGAAAAATCTGCGGAGAGGAATCATTGATGTCTTTTGTGACAACTGTTTTGAAATAATATGTATTACTACTTACGTTGGTGGGCAATAGTTTGAACATTCACTTGCCTAATGAAATCGGTTTTGAATTTTTCGTCACACGTATTCATAATAATTCCACATTTTCATATTTTCTAAGAAAGCGAACTGGTCTTTAAATATTGAACATCAATGTATATAGCGAATGAAAATTCTTTTTATATGAGGTCTCACTTGACACGTATTCCCATTTGAAAACATTTGGAAATTACTAAAAGTTCTTTTCCATATTGTAATGCCTTGCGGTTTGTTTTCAATGGTGCTGCCCGAGAATGAAATGATTGGTATTCGAAATAAACCTTTCTTGTTTTAAGTAAATGCCGAGATTACTATTTATTCTCAACAGTGTCAATACGCGCGATAAGATATTTTCACAGTATAGTATTTTGACGTAATACTTCGGTCTGACAATTACTTAATAAATTTGGGAGTCAGTTTCTAATGATATTCTTACTTAATAATTCCAAAGAAATGTCTGATGTTGTAACTGGTACTCCCTTAACTAACTGAATTTTACAGTGAGAAGTATGAAATTTAGAAGATATTCTACAATGCGAAACGTGTTGTTACGATCACTTCGAAGAAATCAATTTTTAGTAAAATAGACAATAAAATGAGAAACATTTTCCACATTAACTTATATAAGTGTAACCGTATTTTCCATAGCCTACCATGATTGATATCCGTTTAAATGAACATTTCTGAATATTCGTCAGAGAATTTCGTCTCGTCTTGATATCCAAAGAAATTAAAAGACGTGACAAGTGGGATAGAAGGAAGATGTCGAGAGCGTTATCCGCTAACTGAGAAGAAAAATGGGATGTTAAATGGCATGGAAATACTTCAGAGTCCCTATAAAAGCACTAATTTTACGTGTGAAAACAAAAAAATTAACTACTTGGTAAAACGATTGAAAAAAACTTGTTCATTTTGAGGAATGAAAGCTTTCTCAGAAAGTTTTAAATATTCTCCCAATTATAAACTTTTTTTTTCAACCAGGAAAAATACTTTTTCTTACGTTTACTCATAACTTTTATCGAATACTGAAACCAACCACTAGTATTCAAGTAACATTTCATTTCAGTGGACAGTTTACAAAACAGCAACAACCGTAACTCTCTTTCTGCAATAAAATAGCTTTCCATACGTATAAAAATGTATATATACGTATAAAAACGCATGATGAAGGTATTGTATAGCGAAACAAGTATTGCAGACTTTGTGAACTGTCCAGTAAAAGTCTCGCAATGAAGTGTTACTTGAATACGTTATGGATTTTCAAGTATCGTCCATTTCCATCACAAACCAACTAGGCAATAACATTTTGCATTTCATCTGGTAGTACTTCCTACCGGTTTCAAAGATAATGATTGCGGAGATGACCTGAAATGTCCGACCGAAAGTTCGGTTTCGGTCAAGTTTCGTCATAAAAACGGGTTTCGGTTTAGTTTCGGTTTCGACGACAAACCTGCCGAAACTACGACCGAAACCGAAACTGCGTTGAGGAGTTCTCGCGCAGTGATCGGTCATGTTCGGCGCGTTGAATTTCATACAAGCGCCGCGTCCACGTGCCTAATCATGTGACTTACTTTGTGATTTACTTTGTTAATTACATAAATATTAAGTATACCTATTGTGATATGATACAACTTGAATAAGTAATTGTATGTTTAATATATTTGAAAAACAATTAATAATATTCAAAAAAAAATCTACACCTATTCAAATAAACACCTCACCTATTTTAGGCATTTTTAAGGTGCAATTAATATTTTTTCCTGAATAAGAGGTTGTTATGTTGATTATCAATAAGTAAAAATGTCGAAGACTGCATAACGTTGTGATTTAAAGATAAAAAAATAAAGACTGGCTGATGATAATAACGTTTTTTTTTATTTTTCCCTCAAGACATAATCCTTGTAAGGAAGTTTCAGTTTCGCCCGAAACTGAGGCCGTTGCCGAAATTTTATTTCTGTTTCGGTTTCGGTCGTAAAAACCAGTTTCGGTCGGACACTAATGACCTGAAAAATATCTATTTTGTTTTTATCTTCAAAAATATAGTCAACCACGTCTGACTCCACAAAATAAATTATCGACTTGTGCTTCTGAAGCCACGGAAGTTAGTCTATCATCCATGGATGCATATATTCCTTTTTCAATAAAACGATCTTCTACGGGCAAACCTTGGTTCAACAAAAATTGCGAAAAAGCTGTCGCCTCCAAAATTCTCACCTACCGGCAGTGGCGCAAAAAACCCACTGACGAAAACCGAACACGGTTTGTTAATGCTCGCAACAGCTGTAAACTGAGGAAAAATGAAAGAAAAGAACTTCACAATCAGAGAATTAGAGATAAATTGCTTGCCAATCCCAACTGGTCTACATCCTTCTGATTGGTAGCTGAAGCTGTTAATCAGAATTTCACAAAGTTCACAATTCCACCACTAACACAAGCGGATGGTTCAATTGCAACAACAGCCATAGAAAAAGCAATTCTACTAGCTGAACAATTTGCGTCCCACTTCACAGTCGATTTTCTGTAAAAGGCACCACCACCCACTATTCCCACACTAGAATCCACAATACCGGAAATTACATTTCGACAGCGTCTAGGCAGGCGAATTTTGAAACAGCTCAATATCAACAAGGCGTCTGGCCCTAGTGAAGTGCCCGTCATAGTGTGTAAATGAACGCGCACCAGTATTTTGCAGATTTACCAACCTGTCTTACAAGAAAGAAGTTTTTCCTTCTGGTTGAAAGATTGCTCGCATTCAGCCTATTCCCAAAAAAGTCAAGAAAAATCTTCCAAATAACTATAGACCAGTCACTTTGCTATCAGTGATATCAAAAATCATGGAGTAAGTCGATAACCACCATATATATCCTCAAATATTTTGAAGGCTTCAACATCTTACGCGATCGTATGTCACCCATATTTGGAATAACTCAATCGAAAAACATGGAGACTCAAGAGCTGTTGCGCTTGATAATTCTAAGACCTTAGACCGTGTGTGGCATGAGGGTTTGTTGGCCAAACTTCGATGCCATGACTTGTTGGATCCTTTCTGTGTATGGCTCTCCCCAGGGATCCAAATTGTCTCCAACCTTTTTGAAATACATCCCATCAAACATTCAAAACAGTGTTCGGTTGAAAAATCCTAATTGTTTAGAGGAAACTATGAAACAATTCATCGAGAAAGAGCATTTTTTATCCTTG